GGGGTGATAAAGGAAGTGTTTCTGACGTGTGGTTGCAGGCTTGCCAGCTGCCTGCGTGACCTTCTCCCTCCTCTGCAGATGCCAGATCTCACTAGGGATCTCCCTTTCTGGGAGGCAGCTCCAGGCTCCTTCCCTGCTTCCCACGCCCGTGCCTCCCTGGGCGTCCTTCCTAGGAACACTTTGTAGCTGACGGTGCACTTGGGCTGCTGGCTGGGAGGAAAGTCCCCAAGGAATCTCCTCTCCATTCTTGTTCCGGGAAGAATGAACAGGAATTTTTGTGTTTTGTTTTTTTCTTTTCTAAAATTACAATACTTTAGGTAGGGATAAATTTGCAGTGATTTTTTCAATAAAATGTGAGATATGGAGTCAAAATGCCTCACCCATACAAGGCCTCACTAGATCCATAGTGCAACTTGAGCTCGAGCAGTGTCAACCTTTGTACATAAACAGTCCCCAGGTCATTTAAGATATGCAATCAATAGGCCTGTGGAGTTGGCTATCTTTTCTCCAGTAGAAGATACTGTATTTTAGCCCAAACATTAGTTGAATGACATGTTGTCAGGTGTTACTTAGTAAAAGTAAAAACTCATGTGTACCATGTAAAATACAAGACATGCCCAATGTTACTCTACGTCAAGACTGGTTGGTGCCACCTGCATCCTTGTAGGTGTGTCTCACTGGCTGACACTGAGGTTGAGACCACAGAGGCACAGTCCCTGGCAGAAACCAGTATGCCTTAGAATCGTTTGTTTACATTAGTTATGAAAATGCAGATATTCCATTATAGTAGGAGGTGATATGGCACTTTATATGCAACGGTAGGTAGACAGAATGGCCCGAATTAGGGGATGAATAATCAGTTATCTATCCATTAATTCAACAAATATTTACTAAATACTTACTAGGTACCAGACAGTGTCTTAGATATTGAGGTACAGTGGTAAATATCAGACCAGGATCCTTTTCTCGAGGGAGTTACATTTAAAAATATATATATATTTTATTGATTTTTTACAGAAAGGAAGGGAGAGGGAGAGGGATAGCGAGTTAGAAACATCGATGAGAGAGAAATATCGATTCAGTTGCCTCTTGCACGCCCCCTACTGGGGATGTGCCCGCAACCCAGGTACATGCCCTTGACCGGAATCGAACCTGGGACCCTTGAGTCCGCAGGCTGACGCTCTGTCCGCTGAGCCAAACCAGCTAGGGCGGGAGTTACATTTTAAAGCAGAAAAGACAAACGACAAACAGACACACAAATAAAGACAAACAAGAAAAAGCCCCGTGATAAATATGAGGAGAAAAACAACACTCTAGATGTTGTGGTAGCAACTGGGTGGGCAGGCTCAGCTTTCCTGAGGCCCTGACACTCCGGCTGCAACGTGAATGACAGGAAGGAACCTGCCCCCTGAGGATCTGGGGGGAGTGCTCCCTGCAGAGGAAGGACAGAGTGGAAACAGAGGGCGGTGAGGTTGTTGTGCAAGAGGCAAAGGAGGACACTGGCACCTCTGGGGCTTGTGAGGGGATTGAGGAGAAGCAGGAGCTGCTAGGTTCTTAGGCAGGATGGTGACAAAAAAGACATCAATGGAGTTTAAAAAAATAGCACTTAAGAATGGAATAGACTATGAAAGAGAAAGAATATTGAAGTCAGATGATATAAAATATAAAATGGAGACTTTGGAAAAATTCAATTTAGAAAATGATTTTCCTCTGGGTCTTAACTAGTGTTTGGAACTGCCTGTCTCTGATGAAGCCGGTCTGTGACACCATTCTTTGTTGGCCTTGAAATGAAGAATGGGGCACTTTTCGTTCTCTTAAGCATCTTATACCCCTCTCTAATGTCTGTAACTTACCACGTTTTCCTTGGTTACCAACATAATGCATGTTTATGATGGAACGTTTGGAAAATACAGATAAACTAAGAGACGGAATAAAATCCAAATCTAGCCATCCAAGAATACTAGTGTTAGCATTTAAACACACACTTTCTTTATGCTTACAGCAGTCAGCACAGGTAGACAGCCAGTAATGTTTGTTGAATGAATGACTACTTGAAGTAACTTACAGCCTCCTAGGATTTTGTAGCTGGAAAGGACTATAGAGGTGTGGGGACTGAGGCCTATACTATTGATGAAATGAAGCTATTAGAGAGAAGTTGAAATAATAACTAAGAGAAGCCAGGAAAAGATAAGTCTACAAGGAATGAGGTGAGTGTCATGTAGAGAAGGGATTCAGCTCATTCTGCCTTGTTCTGGAGAGGGCAAAGCCAAGACTAAGCAACACTGGGAGTTGTCGTAGGCCAATTTCAGTGTAATACAGGGAAGAGCTTTTTTCTTTTTTAAATATATTTTTATTGATTTCAGAGAGCAAGGGAGAGGAGAGAGAGAGAAACATTAATGATGAGAGAGAATCATCGATCAGCTGCCTCCTATATGCCCCACACAGGGGATCGAGCCCACAACCTGGGCAAGCGCCCTGACTGGGAATTGAACCGTGACCTCCTGGTTCGTAGATCGACGTTCAACCACTGAGCCATGCCGGCCAGACCAGGGAAGAGCTTTTTAATAGGTAGGACTATTCAAAACTAAAACAGGTTTTCTTGAAAAGAAGTGAGGTGCTCCTAATTAGAAGTGTTCAAGTAGAAACAGATTATGTTTGAATGAATAATTTGTCAAGTATGCTTGAGTAGGAAAAATATATTTTGTGTGCCTGGTTGGAATAAATAACTTCTTAGGTCTTTACCAAAACTAAGATGAAATGATTTTGTGAGTATATATCTCTAAATCAATATATATCTATATCTATATATCGCACACATAGATAGATGGATAATTTTTATCTTATTGATTTGTTACTTTGAAATTAAGCCTTTTGAGTGTGAACCGATTCTTTCTCATTCTAAATGGGATCTTATCAATTCTGTCTTTGCTGACCCAAATGCTATGGTTTTAAATAATCTTCTTTTTAATACTAATTCAGTGTGCTACACACAGTAGTTCAAAAGATAAATTTAAATGAGCTCTTAAGTCTGAAAAAAAAATCTACATTTAAAATAAATTGAACTATAGGCTCCATGCAGTTAGACAATGTGGTCTCAGCGGATCTCAATCAAATATATCAGTTGATCACATTCAGGAGATCTAAAATGCATTAATTTTTTCAAGTAAAAAAGGCTAAAATTAAAAAAAGAAATTTGGGTAAATTGTATTGTGATCAGATAAAAAGTGTTCTCTTATTGGGTTTCTGAATGATGATATGAGATTATGGCTGGAATTATTTTCTAGAATATAAAGAATCCTTTTACTATTAAATTAGAAATATGATTTAACTGCACTTCAAGTATGGAGTTACTGAAAGACTGTTCATAGTACAATAATTTCATCCAAATTCTAGTGGTGAGACAGCCACATAAATGAACCATATTACAGGAATACTTTCAAGACTTCCTATCAGTAACAGAAATGGAGATCCTGACAAGTTCCTGCTTGGGTTCGGTGAGAGCCACTCTCACATAGCAATCTAGCACAGCTCTGATGAGTACCACGGACGGTATCTATGGTGTACTCTTTGTGATTCTGACCAGAAAGAAAACAAATAAAAAACAGCAAAAATTGTCCCTTTTGGTTCCCCTTCCTCCTTTCCTTCTTCCTTCCTCTCCCTCCGTTCTTTCTTTCCTCCTCATTAGAAGGCTAAATAAGAAAATTCATGCCAGAGTCCTAACTGGTTTGGCTCAGGGGATAGAGTGTTGGCCTGTGGACTGAAGGGTTCCAGGTTCAATTCCGGTCAAGGGCATGCAACTTGGTTGCAGGCACATCCCCAGTGAGGGGTGTGCAGGAGGCAGCTGATCTGTTTTCTCTCTCATCAATGTTTCTAACTATCACTCTCCCTTCCTCTGTAAAAAAATCAATAAAATATATTTTTAAAAAAGAAAATTCATGTTCGAATTAAGTATCTCATTTTATTTACTATATCAACATTGTTATTGTTTGGCATACTCTTTTTAAAATATTTTTTTTTACTTTTCAATTACAGTTGACATTCAATATTATACTAGTTTCAGCTGTACAACATAGTAGTTAGACATTTATATAACTTACAAAGTGATCCCCCCATATCTCTACTACCCACCAGACACCATACATAGTTATCACAATATTATTGACTATATTTCCTATGCTGTACTTTATAACTCGTGACTATTATGTAACTGCCAATATGTACTTCTTAATCCCTTCATCTTTCTACCTATCCCTCCCACCTGGCAGCCATCAGTTTGTTATCTGTATCTTTGAGTTTTTTTCTGTTTATTCGTGAACTTTGTTTTTTAGATTTGAAAAGATATATGCATCCCTATGTTCATTGCAGCATTATTTGCAATAGCCAAGATATGGAAACAATCTAAGTGTCCATCGACAGATGACTGGATAAAGAAGATGTGGTATGTATACACAATGGAATATTACTTGGCCATAAAAAAGAATGAAATCTTGCCATTTGTTTTGGATATGCTTAAGAGTAAAAAATTATGGCTTGAGTCAAGATAGGCCTTCCATCGGCTGGAATATCTCAGCCATACCTTTTCAGTTAGGGAAATGTATAATATTTCTGGGGCAGCGACACCTTCTATGTTTCAGACATTGTGTAGATGCTAGAGAGATGAAAATGCCAGGCATGAATCTTGGCCTCACAGAGAGAGGCATAGAAAATGCATAGCAGAGATTCATCATAGAACCCAGATGAGGCTCAGCGTTCTTTCTGACCCAGGACTCCAGCCAGTCACTGCTAATCTATCACAGAATCGGCATAAGAGGTGACATCTATTAGTCACTCCTGGTAGGAAGTCCAAAGTACTCTGGTAACAGGTTTCATTCTGATAATCATAATCACGGTTATTTCATGTCTATAAAGTAAGACCCATTTCAGGTGTACCCTGCTGAATTTTGAGTTTTTGAATTCCACTCTCAGAAACACGAAATAAAAGCAATTTTTTTAAAAGTTACCTCCACTGCTGCTTTTGCCCTTTCAAATTCCTCTTCTAAGGAGTGGTTTCTGGAGAGTAATGCACTTCCCCAGCGCTGTTCTTTGGTCAGTCGAGCCTGAAATGAACCAAACACATGGTGTTATAATATTGGAATCACATAGCACAAAAGTACAAATGTTTTTCCTTTTTCCATATTCCCCTAGAGTTTGGCAGCACTGCAACGGATTTTGGAATACTTTGCAAGCATGATGTTGCCCAAACTGGAATGGTGCCAAAAAGAATCAAACGCAAGCATGATTCTTTTTAAAAAATATATACTTGTATATATTTTCATTGATTTCAGAGAGGAAGGAAGAGGGAGAGAGAGACAGAAACATGAATGATGAGAGAGAATCATTGATTGGCTGCCTCCTGCACGCCCCACACTGGGGATCGAGCCCTCAACCCAGCCATGTGCCCTGACCAGGAATCGAACCTGACCCTCTGATTCACATAGGTTGATGCTCAACCATTGAGCCAAGCTGGCCAGGCATGCATGATTCTTCTCACAGGGTCTTAGGCCTGGTCATACTAAAAACAACACCCAGGCCCAACCTCCCGAAGTTTTAACTTTAATTGGTCTTGGTGCCAGGCATTAATCTTTTTGTAAGTCTCCCATATGATTCTAGGATGCAGCTAGAATGGAGAATCTCCACTGGAAGACGAGACTAGCTGATATTCAAGCTTCCAGCTGGTTAGAAGGACCAGTCTCGGGTAAAACTGTGGGAGCTGCAGAGATGAAAGCTGGCAGCTGGGTCTTTCTCTTTAAATATGCAGCAGGTCCTCATTCTGGATTCTTTTCCCATTGCCTTCCCTCTATTGGCACATTTGTCTAATGCTCCATTTCCTTAGGACATTGCTCTCTGTTAAATAATAGTCACTTAGATAAAATCATGTCTGATAGCTCCAACTGCTTTGTCACAATTAACAGGCAAGTGCTACACGGCTTAGTTAAATGAAAATATTTCCAGCCCCCGCCCCCCCCCCAAAGAATCTGCTGGAATTTTTTAAAATGGTACTACTTTTAAATTTGACAAATAATAAATACTTTCTTTTGGGAAAAAAATTAATTATGGAAAATAAGAGGTGCACCTCTAGACTTTTCTTTGCAGTTACATATATATTTATGCACTGATGGAACATCATAATGTGTTTCAAAATTTTGAAACATAAATGATACGCTATTCTGTAGCTTACTTTTTTCTACTTAGCAATATATCTTGGAGAGTCTCCACAATTTGTATGTGTCAATCTACTTCACTCTTCCCAGGGATTTCCTAGCACTAGTAAGTACCATGTACTGTAGTTTGTTCAGAACTCTCTCCAGGAGTAATCAGGATGTTTCCAAATTTTCTCCATTTAATTATTTGTTTTCTTGTCTACCTTCTGACTCTACTGTAGGATCCATGCAGGTAAGAATTTGTCTGGAAACTTTTGTACTGCCCCATCCCAAGCTCAGGGCCTGACAAGTGATTCGTGCCGCAAGGATGCCTGTGGATGGATGGATGGCAGGCTGAGGGAGTGCACTGATAAGGCAGTTGGGCCCTGGGGAATAGGAGGAGACAGGCTTGTGGCATGAAGTATCCCACCCCCCTTCTATCTGGGCAGGGAGGCTCCTTGGCCATGTGTTAGACTGCTGTCTTGCAGGAATGCTCAACCCCAGCTTCTACGGGAATCACTGCACAGGCCTGGGTCCCACCCCAGACCAATGAAATAGAATCTCTGGGGCTGGACCTGGGCATTAAAAGTTGGAAAAACTCCTCTGGTGATTTTGAAAAGCAGTCATGTTTGAAAACCACTGTTCTATAGCACAACTGTTCTTCACTCAGCACTTTCCACCTAACTTGGCAAACTCCTTTTGGCCCTCCTTTCCCAACTGGTTATATAAGTCCCTGTCCCTCAATCCTTTGCTTTAGAACCAACTCTCTTGTCTTCCTGCCGGTTCCCCATCAATGAAATAAACAAATGAGTGAATTTTAAACTGTGGATCCATAGTCAAACACGAACTTTGTGCATTTTTATAATGATGTCATGGATGAGCCATGAATGGCATTAGAAGAAAAAGAAAGCATCAATATTTTTGTTCCAAGCCACCTCCTTTCATTCGAGGCACTTTTCTCTGGTGAAACACGATCTGTCTGTCCTGTGAAGCTGACCTAACAGGGCTCCATTACTGTCACCGGCTTCCCTTCATCGATGTTTCATGACACAAGTGGATTATGAATCACAGATGCAAAGGGAGCCACACATGAGGGAGAAGAGGAGCATCTCTCTCAGGAGCCTAGACTTACAGTTCATATTCTCATTATCACTTAAAACAGCAAATATAAATAGATTCTCACTGAGCAAATGAGATGTTGTTTTGACAGTACAATGGCTATTTACAAGAGCTGTTTCCCACATTGTTAGAAAGGCTTTGGAATATTACTAAACAAATGTTATCTACTTCACATGGTAAAGCCATCTATTTTGGCCAGAGAAGCACGAGATAAACATTATAAACTATAGGCAAATACTGAATGTACACAGAGGCAGTTTTCAAGCTGAGATTAGTATGCAACTAAAGGTTATAGGCAAACCTGTGATGTGGGAAAACATATGTAAGTAACGCTTGTAAATCGCTTAGTATTTACCAAGAGGAATGATAAACCAGACTATTACACCTATAAGTTTCAGTTGCAGCTGTTTTGGTAGCAGAGTATTTCCCTGTATCAGTAGTTCCCAAGCTTTAGTGGGCATTAGGATCACCTGAAAGTCTGGTTCAATGCAGGTGGCTAGGCCCCGCCCTAAGCGTTTCTGGTTCAGTAGGTGGGGGAAGCCCACCCGCAGGGTTTCTGATTCAGTAGGTGGGGGAAGCCCACCCCCAGGGTTTCTGATTCAGTAGGTGGGGGACTCCCATCCCCAGGGTTTCTGATGCAGTAGGTGGGGGAAGCCCCAGAATCTGCATTTCTAACAAGGTCCCAGGTGATGCTGGGCAGGCTGGTGCAGGGACCACATCATGAGAATTTCTGGTCTAAACACTGACATGATGTGCATGTAGGTGGAGCTCTGTTGTTCACAAATGTACTTTGACACAGATATTTCTTTTCTTCTTCGCATGATTTTGAATAATACTCCACAGTTACAGCAACCTCCTGGAGGGGCGTTGGCTCTAAAAACAGCATTTTAATTGCTTTAAGCTAATTGAATTTTAGGGAATTACACTCTCTAAAGGAGAAGGCATTTAGTTCCTTTAGCTGTCGATTGTTCTGAATGATAAGCACCAGGTGAAGGGAAAGAAGAAAGAAATTAACCTCTTTAAAGAGAATATTATGTTTTATTTTCATTATTAAAAATTATAATTGTGATCAAAATTATGATTTGAAATGAATGTACTTGTGGCTGTGGTTTTCCTAGCATAACTTTGTTGGCTAATCACGAAGCCAGTCATTGGTAGCTTCTCATAAATTACCTGTACGTTATTACCAAAGGTCTCCCACCAAAATACACTTTAAAAGAGCTCAGCATCTTTTCAAAGGGAATGGAAGGAGAAAAGGGATCTGCTTAACTGTAGGAGAGAAGAATATAACCACTAGCAGACCGTGGGTGACACTATACAGTGATGGCGAACCTTTTGAGCTCGGCGTGTCAGCATTTTGAAAAACCCTAACTTAACTCTGGTGCCGTGTCACATATAGAAATTTTTTGATATTTGCAACCATAGTAAAACAAAGACTTATATTTTTGATATTTATTTTATATATTTAAATGCCATTTAACAAAGAAAAATCAACCAAAAAAATGAGTTCACGTGTCACCTCTGACACACTTGTCATAGGTTCGCCATCACTGCACTATAACAATCGCGAAAAGCATAATCTCTGGAGTGAGACTGACTGGGGCCAAATCCATTTATTACGAATTGGTGACATTGGACCAATTAATCTCTAGAATCCTCAGTATTCATCTGCAAAGTGTATATTCACCTATAGAATCCACATAAGAATTAGTACAGCCCTAGCTGGTTTGGTTCAGTGGATAGAGCGTTCGCCTGCAGACTAAAGGGTCCTGGGTTTGATTCTGGTCCAGGGCACATGCCAGGTTGCAGGCTCAGTCCCCAGTAGAGCACGTGCAAGAGGCAGCTGATCAATGATTCTCTCTCATCATTGATGTTTCTATCTCTTTCCCCCTCTACCTTCCTCTCTGAAATCAATAAAAAATATTTTAAAAAATTAGTACAATAATTCATGTAAATACACACACAAAAGAATCAGTACATAAGTGCTCAATAAAACGTGGCTTTTGTTATCATCTTTCTTGTTAGTACTTATCAGGTGTGACTTTAGAAATACATTTTAAAAAATATCTGTGCCTTGAGTGCTTTTGTTCAGTGGTTAACGAAGACCACTTGGATTCTTACAGTACATCAGATCATTTAAACACTTGCTTCATTGAGATGCTCAGATTTTTTTTTCTGAATCAGTCAGCAGACATTAATCATCAAAGGCACACAAAAAGCTCTACCTTAAGTGTAAAGAGCAAATTCCCAGAGCTTTGTGCAAAGAGGGAGCATATGGCTCCTCTCTCCCTCCAACTATGAAATTCTATGTTGTAGAACATCAAGGCAAATCAGTGCTGACTTCAAAAAGAAACGGACAGTCTATTACCACCAATAACTGAAAAAGTATTTTTGAAACTAGCTTCAAAAGGATCAAGAATTAAATTTTGTCTTTTTATTTTCTCTACCCTTTCACCATTAGCCACAACTTATAAATTATTAAATTGGACAAGCATTTATTATTCCTGCTTTTTGCTAGCATTCTCTTATTTTTTTACTTCAACAAGGATTTGTTGAATACCTACTGTGTACAGATTTCCTACTGGGATGAAAATGATCTTTCAGCTTTCTTTCCTTCCTTCTGGCCTTCCTGCCCATCCTTGCCTTTCTTTTCTTTTTCTCTCCCATCTTTGCTCGCTTCCTTCCTCATTGGTAGCTCACTGTGTATGTCCAGGAGGGACAGGAAATGTGGGTGTGGCTCCTGTGCTGTCTTCCAACAAGCAAAACTACATTTATAGCATACTACCCAACTCTTCCTATTAGACATAATGGTCTTGACGCTTCTTATAGTCAGAACCCTCTAATTTTTTCACTGCCTCACTGTTGCTTTATAAATAGTAGATGTTCAGTCCCATTTACTGTATGGAATAAAATGGAAGCCACCAAGAGTAAGAGTTTGAGAATGAATTTGGCAGGGGGCAGCACAAACTTGTGTTTAGCTTCAGATCAGATGACAATCCTCATTTATCTTAAAATGTTTCTGGAAGAAAGTGACAAATATTCTTTAAAAATCCGTGAACTCATGTTAGCCCTGTAAATGTAGTAACCAGCTTGCAATGAGAATGGAAATAGATGGTTTGGGAGTTGTCTCGTGTGGATAAGCTGATGTGGCTGACTGGAGGTTGTGTGTGGTTAAAAACAAGGGCTTTAGAAGCGGATGGGTGTGCACTGAGGGCCGGCTCCTCTCCTCCTTGGCTGTGTCAACTGGGGAAAACGACAGCCCTCTCAGATGCATCACTCATCTGCTTGGGGACACTACCAACTGGATGGAATTATAACTATGTAGAAGGAATCATTTGCGGTGCCAAAGTCAGCAAAATCAGACTGTTACGCGATTGTGAGTAAGTACTAGAGAGCCTGGCGGCCACAGTCTCCTGAAGTCCAACTTAGGTTGGCAGGAGCCTGTCCCGAGCTCTCCTGCCAGTGTCCAGGAGAAGAAATGCTTGAGCCACCACTCAACAGCAGAAGTTGGATTCTTTTTCTTTTGCCTCATCACTACCTAAGCCCATTTATGGAAAAAGCTAATTTTACACCATTACTTTTTGTGTTTTTCTTCAATTCTTCAAATGCTTTCTAATTTTTCAGATCACATGATTTCTTTAAACATGTAACTCCAGGGAATACGAATTACACAGTTTAAGTGTCAAAAACTATTCTTAAATATATAGAGATTATGTAATTTATTATCATCTCTTGCCACTCTGATTAGTGTATTCAAAACACTATTTGGAGGAGACTGGACCATGTCTCTCCTTCTCCCATCTTGATAAGAAAATGAGCCAACATAAGAATTCTTCTCATTGTAAACTTCCATTTTTTAAATTCTGAAATATGATTTTTAAAATGTGGCTTGCAAATAGCTGCTTGCCTATTGAGCCTACGATACTTTATGTTGGCCTGAGAGAGAAGAAAGGATCCCCTGGATTTTCCTGTGAACCATCTGAGTGATAGTGGACAGAAACTATTTACCTGGCTAGCTTGCAAGTCAGTTTTAAGTTGAGTTTTTATATACCTTCACCATTTTATCTATGTAAAGATATGCCTCTGACAGCAAAAACATCTTTTTGTCTTCTATTCAAAGTAGGTTAATCATTCTATACTTTTGTTGCTCCATTTGAATGACTTAGTATTTCAGATGATTAAATCCCAAGCTCATGTAATTTTCCTAGTTTAACCATAGGATGGAATTAAAACGAAAAGATTATGAATTTCTTTAGTTTAGGGAATCTTGATAAGTAAACACACAGTGTTGGTCTTTTTAAAACACAAATGAAGGGATGTATTCTTTACAAATAATTGGTAACCTCTAAAAGGATTTGCTATGATTCATCTAGACAGAGAACTGTCACAGTGCATTTTACATTGTTTTGGAGGACAATATCAGGAATGTCATACATATTTTCCAAAGAACATTGTGGGTTTAAAAAATTTATATATATATATGCACACATATATATATATATACATATATATGTATATATATTGATTTCAGAGAGGAAGGGAGAGGAGAGAGAGATAGAAACATCAATGATGAGGAAGGATTATTGATTGTCTGCCTCCTGCACACCCCCATTGGGGATCGATCTTGCAACCTGGTCACATGCTCTGGACCGGAATCGAACCCAGGACCCTTCATTCCGCAGGCTGACACTCTATCCACTGAGCCAAACCAGCTAGGGCAGACATTGTGTTTGCTTGAAGGCACATGGGCGGGTCAGTGGTAGGACAATGTGGTGGGGTAAAATCCAACAATCAGCAGGAGAGCAACCATTGGAATAATAAGATACATGCGTAATGGGCTCCATGGGCAACCGGGACCCCAGTGATCTCCTGTCCCTCCCGCCCTGCGGAGCAGCCCACCTGTGCCAAGCCTCCCCCTGCTGCTGAAACAAACGTTCTAGTGCCAATTCATTGTGCCAAGGATTCCAGTTCTTGAAACAGTACCAATTACTTTAGTCAGGTCTAAGTTTCTAATGCATTTATCAAGAAATGTTTCTCTAATAAATGTGATCAATTTGCTTTTTCAAAAGATACATTTAGAATGAACACAGAGGAAGAAAATACATTTTCATGCTACACTTAGGATTCATTAAGCTTCCCAGGGGTGTTTGCTCCGGAGGTTAGTTGACTTGTTTCCCAGGAGAGTTCTGGGGGCAGTAATGTCCATCGCCTCTTATGGAGGATGAGGTGTCTGTCGGGGGCGCTATTAGTGGCCTGGGAAGGGTGCCAGGGGCCTTCCATTTTGTCTCTCTCCCTGCCCTCCTTCTCTCCTTAACTTACTAACTGTGGGTGCATAGACACTTTTCTTAATCTCACTGTGCCTTAGTTTCCCCACCTATAAAATAAGGCTAATACATTAACTTATAGAGCCATTTTTTTCTGGATCAAATGAGCTAATATATGTACTTAGCATACATTCAATATTATTTTCTATTATCGTAATTATCCCTTTACTTCACCTCAGACATTATATTTATCCCTTTAGTTTCAATATCTTATCTAATAAACTCAAGAAAAAATTTCTGGCTTATTTCACTCCACCCATTTTATTTTCAACTAAATTGCAGAGTGCATGAATGTAGACACATTTCTTAAGAGATCTTTGTGGTTTTTAGACCCCAGCTGTACCCTTGAAAAGTGCTAGAATGAATTTGAAAAGATTGTAGGTGGTAACTAGTTAGAGACAAGCCAGTTACACTGTAGTTGAGAGTCAAGCGGTAGACAGGCCGGTCCTATTCCCACCCGCTCCCACCAGTGATTAGTTGGAAAATAATTTTTACTTTACTGATACCCTTTGAAGGATCTTTAAAGTGAGGCCAATAATAATTCACAGGATTATCTCCGTATTAGTTGTAACACATGAAAAGCACATAGTAAAGTCCACAGATGGTGGTTTTTACTATGACTATTGCTGCTACTCCTCTAATTATTTATTCCTTCCCTGAAATGTATTTGAACGTGGCAATCAGGATCCTGGTGTGTAAGTACCTTGTTCCACAGGCAGAGAGGGAAATGAACACGTGAGATGTAATTTCCTCTTCTTTGTACTCTGCTACGTCAATAGTGCTAATAATGGAGTAGTACAGAGTTTGTATTGCAAAGTCATGGGACAGTAAATGGTAGAAAAAGAAAAAAGTGCTAAGTACACAGTTAATGACTGACATCATTAACACATTTGTCAGTCAAATATATATATATATATATATTTTAAGCACTGAGACAGATAACTGAGTAAGAAAGCACATGCAAAAAAGGTATAGAAAACATACTTAGAACTTTTTGTGAACATTTAAATAAACTGTTTAAGATAGAAATGATCTATGAGAGAAGACAGGTTCCTTGAAGAGTTGCTCGGTTACCTGTGTTGGAGTCACTAATTCCAGCTCTGAAGCTGACTCGGCGTTCAGGGCGCTTTTCCCAGCGCTCAGTTCAGGCTGGGATCTGTGCTCGGAGGACCTGAGGGGGGAATGAAGGAGACCGATGCACACTGAGAGGCAGTTAGCTAGAGAGCCAGCCGAGAAACCTAGAGAACTTGGATCATCGAGAGCCGCAGTAACAAAACTCTCACCAGAATTTTGATTAAAAATATAACTTTTATATGTTTTTATTTTAATGACCATCTTTGGAATTTAAAAAATTATCTTTATTGTTGAAAGTATTACAGAGGTTCCCCTTTTTCCCCATTGACCTCCTCCACCCCCAGCCCCCACCCCAGGCCTACTGCACTATTGTGTGTCTATATATGCATATAAGTTCTTTGGAATTTAAGTGGCTGTGACGTGCTAGGTGTTATTATCTTTGATTTAGAATTCAGTTCAATTGTGGGCAAAATATAATCTTATTTTTGTTACAGAAAGTTCTGTTTTATTAAAAAGTATTGTTTTGGGGGTAGAGATTCTCACAAAGCATCTCGGGTGTGACTTAATCTTTATTTGGAACATGAAATGTCATAATACTAGTAAGTAGAGATGTGTGAGGGGCAATAGGAGATTGAAACATGTTGCCCTTTAGGAAGCTTTAAAAATTTGGTAAAATTCAGGTAGCCAATTTCCTCATGGCCTCCATGGATTACCCGATAGTACATTATCTGACAGTGATGATTAATAAAGTCAGAAAAGGTTACCTGTGTAACCAGAAACATTTAATTTAACTATCATTCATGTAATATATTAAATACACATGAATGTAAACACGCGTATGCACCTATTTTGATCATCTCAATTACATATTCAGAAAATTATCAACACACATTGATATTATGAACCTTCCAGAATCCTAATTGGCTGATTTATTTTTGGACAATTTAGATGGAATAATTTAGTTTTAGAAGGCACAATAATTAACATCCTATATAATAAAAGCCTAATATGCAAATTGACTGAACAGCAGAATGACTGGTGGAACGACTGGTCATTATGAAGTGCACTGACCACCAGGGGGCAGACACTCAATGCAGGAGCTGCCCCCAGCCCACAGGCCCCAGGCCAGTCAAGGCAGGTGCCAGTGGGAGCCCCCCGACTGCCCTGCTGGTCACCCCATATGTTGGCCCTGATCGCCGGCCAGGCCTAGGGACCCTACCCGTGTACGAATTTCGTGCACTGGGCTTCTAGTTGATATATAAGGTGTTATACATGGCACCAAGTATTTGGATTGACTTAACTCATTGGCTATTTCAGTACATGAGAGGAAAAACCCATACAGTGGACACTTAAATGGCTATTTCCTGATATTGAAATACCTTACCATAAGAGTTCCTTTGATCCAGTTCTAGAAGAGCATGATTTTCTCTCTGCCATTGGATGACCCTTGCTACTGCGATCTCCATGAAACTTAACATCGTCCCATTTTTCCAGTTGTGTTTGAATGTCTGTCAAGGACACAGGAAGGGAATGAGAGGGATAGGGGGAGAATATGAGGTGCAGAGAGAAGAAGAGAAACTGATTAAGGTTGAGAAGGGTTATTACAAGTGAACTTCACTCAACTGATATTTTTAAACCCCAAGACCAATTCTTTAAGGTCACATGAAAATTAAAACATGTGTAGCTAAATAAAAATGAGACCTATTAAGGAAATTCAATTGCATTTACAGTTAAACAATCAAGTTGTTTTACCTGAATTTGTTTCAAGAGCTATATGCATTCTGAATTCTGTGCATGAGGTCATGGAACCCTGTGGGAATGAGCACATGGAGTGCTGGGTCCTGTTGGCCTCTAGCTCAGACCATGGCTTTGAGGCACACCTGGCATGTTTCTAGAAAGAAATTCTGTCTAAAGAGCCTCCCTGTTAGAAGGAGGTGAGAAGAAACTAAAGGACCTTTCACAGCTTTTGTACAGACTGTGTAGTTTCTCGCCAAAGAAAGGAATTAATAATGGGGATGGAGAGAAAGGAGAAAGCCAAGAGAATGCCAGCCCATTTTCTCCCGGTGGCTTCATTCTTCCATCTGACCTAAAGTGTCCTTCTCTCTCATTAACAAGTGTGTGACTGTAAATAAACCACTTAAACCATCTTAGGTCCATTTTTTCCCATTAAGAAAAGAGAGGTTTGCTTTCTGTGTCCTCCAAAGTTCTTGAAATGAAACATTTTTATGACTTCTTACACAGGACGTTTTCTCAAAAGCAGAGAAATTTAAGTTTCCTTTACATGTATATTGTGTTATATTATAACTAGAGGCCTAGTGCACGATTTTGTGCATGGGTGGGGTTCCTCAGCCTGGCCAGCGATCAGGGGCAATCAGGGCCGGCCAGGGGGAGGGATGGTGGGAGGTAGGCTGGCTGTGGGACATTGGCTGTGGGATCATACTGACCACCAGGGGGCAGCTCCTGCATTGAGCGTCTGCCCCTTGGTGGTCAGTGCATGTCATAGTGACTGGTCATAATGGTTGTTTAGGCTTTTATATATATAGATGTTTTCTATGATCTTTAGGTGAGGTCATCTATACCCATGAATGCGATATTCATTCACAGGCTTCAGATGTTCAAATCTCCATTTCCTGCTCAGCTCTCTCTCCCAAGTTCTAGATCTATACATTTAACAGTTGATTGGACATCTCCACAGAGAAATCCCAGTTTCCTCAAATACATGGTGGGGCTAATGTATTGTTTACAACTGTAATACAGTTGTAAGTACACAAAACGCAGTTTATTCTTGTATTATTATTTGTTGATTATTGTATTATTTTCCATATGAACAACTGCAAACCTACTTTTGCCCCATCCTGTAAAACAGGTTCTAAACAACTCCAGAATTTCCACCTTGACTTCCTGCCTCCCTCTTTCCCTCTTGTATCCTTATCACAGAGTTCAGCACATTCTATATGTCTTCATTGCTGGCATACACGTGTCTACTTGGTCCACAAGTCCTACTCCCACTTCTTCATCTACGCATCCACCAGAAAAAAACACTTTTTAAAGTAGAATCTGTTGAAGTCCCTTTTATGTGTAAAACCCTTCAACCCCACCTTTCCCGCAAACTCAAGGGCATGGCATTCATTATCCCATATCCCAGCTCCGAGTGACTCTCAGACTTATTCCTCACTGCTTGAATACTATCACAAATGTTTGTATTTGCTTGGAAGGATATTTTTGTGTGTTTCTCTATTTGTGTGTGAATCCCCTTCTCTTCTGTATCAGGAATGCCCTGTCCTTCTTCCCTCCCTCTCTCTGATCCATATTTTTCATCTGGAAAATTTCCGCTCATCTGTCAAGACTCTGCTCACATAGTACCTCCTATAAGACCTTCTACAACCCCCTGGCTGGGTCAGGGCTCTGTGAAGGTGCTCTTTTAGGAAGTGACCTGGGCTTCCCTTCATTGCAACATATACAGTAGTTTCCCCTTATCTTCAGGGGATACTTTCCAAGACCCTCAGTGGATGCCTGAAACGGTGGTTGGTACTGAACCCTATATGTATTATGTTCTTTCCTAATCACATACACCTAAGATGAAGTTTAATTTAAAAAGTAGGCAATTTTACGCATAGAAGATTCATTCTTACCACAAACCTTAATAACCATGGCATATGCTTCCCCCCCCCCTTTCCTTGTTAAATCAAGAACGTTCACCTTTTCACTTACAAGAAGAACTTAACGGATTCTCTTTGGCATATCCGAATTGCCAGCATCACTAGGCTTCTGCTTTGGGGCCATTATTAAGTAAATAAGAGGTCCTTGGACACAGGCACTGCAATACGGAGACAGTCAATCTGATAACTGAAACATCTACTAAAGGACTAAGGGGCAGGGAGCAGCTATGGTGTGGAGAGGTTGGACAGAGGGATGATTCACATCCTCGGCGGGATGGAGCCAGAGCCCTGGAGACCTCATTATGCTTCTCAGAATGGCATGCTATTTAAAACTTATTAATTGATGATTTCTGGAATTTTCCACTTAACATTTTTGGACTGGTAACTGACACTTCAGAAAGTGAAATTGCAAATTCGGGGGACTACTGTAGTGCATATTTTATTATAATCAATTAATCATTTTTCTATCTCTCCACTGGAGTGTGAACTTACTAAGCGAGAATGTAAGCTTAATGAAGGCAGAGAGCTTATATTATTTATCTTTGTATTCCTAGCACATAGTATGGAACATGGTAGGCATTCAGAGAAATGTTTACTGAACAAATGAATAAATTAATTCATGACCGTCTAACATGTACACGTGGCAGGGCTCAGCAACTCCACATATCTTTCCCCTTTAATCTTCACAACCTACGGATAGGTTGCTAATATGCTAATTTTATGACTATTTACCCACACACATATGTATACACATACACACCAGCCAGCCTCAGCCTGGAGAGATACATGTTTCCTTCGGCTTTCTAAAACGCCTGCCACCTTCATTCTCCTGAGAAAGGAGTGTTTAATTTGACTGGTTCCATGAGCTGAGGTTAAGCTCTCCTTTCTCAGGAAGATGTACAGTGGTTAAAAGCACGGGCTTTGAAGTTAATTAGAGCTAGCCTCAAATTCCAGTTCTTCATCCTAACTGAGATCTTGGGCAAGTTATTTAAATTTGAAAACCTGGTTCCTCACTTATTTCAAAGAGTTGGGATGAATTAAAGGGCTAATATACGTAAATCATTACATATATTAGCACAGTCCTGGACGTCATAAACCAGTGATGGCGAACCTTTTGAGCTCGGCGTGTCAGCATGTTGAAAAACCCTAACTTAACTCTGGTGCCATGTCACATATAGAAATTTTTTGGTATTTGCAACCATAGTAAAACAAAGATTTATATTTTTGATATTTATTTTATATATTTAAATGCCATTTAACAAAGAAAAATCAACCAAAAAAATGAGTTCGCGTGTCACCTCTGACATGCGTGTCATAGGTTAGCCATCACTGTCATAAACCATCAATAAATGGTAACGGCTATTGTATCGAATGTATCTCTATGCATATTACATGTTACCATTCTGCTGGGCTGTTCCTGAACCTAGTGTTAGAGTTGTTTTCCTCTCATCTCCTTTCCTCTCATCTCCTCTCCCGTCTCTCTCTCTCTCTCTCTCTCTCTCTCTCTCTCTCTACTTCTCCCCTGGCTCTCTCTAGACTGAATGCTCCTAGAGAGAAATATTCATGTCTGATTTTTGCTCCAATGCCTAGTATGGTGCCTTCCATCTATCAAGAGCGCAATACATGTGGGTTGAATAAATAAATGACTGAATCCATATCAGTTATGCAAAGCCACTTAACTCAAGCACAAAAGACGAGTGTCCTGCCGTTTTCTATGTGGAATTAATCCTTTCTACTCCTTTGCCCATGGTTTTAATGCCATTTGTGGAACGTCCTCGTGTCAAGGCAAGGGTGAGCAGCAACAGACACTTAGCTACTGCCTCACCTAAATCTAAGGATGCCGTCTCCGGGCCTCGAAGAGGCTGCGGGCCTCTCTGTTCAGGCTCCGCACCGATGAGATCAGCTCCATCAGCCTTCTTCTTGAGGGATGCGGTTTTCGATGAGGCCTCCAGCTTCTTGGCTTTGGTTTGGGTTTGCGAGACGGGTTCACTCAGGTCAAGGAGGTCTAAGCCTGTGGTCAACACTGTGAGAGACGAAAGAGGTTAAGACAAGCCCACTCAGGGCTCTGAAGTTATTTTTTAAAAGGAGGCTTCTGTTGGGTGCAGAAGGAATTTGTGTTTGTAGTGTAGGTTAGAAGCACCGAAGTAAGTTAGCTCACCACTGATTTATAAAGACAGTCTGCATTTACTTGGGGAAGTTTGCTGCCTGTTCTTTGTATTTCGCATGGTACAAATCCCAGAGCGGGGTTTACATCAGCCCTCACCAGCGATGAAGGTTTGAATTGAAATTCAAGTGATGAAATTGAATCTGAGTTCAGGTACCATTTACTTGGCTTTGCTTGATTTATAGAGGTTTATTTTAGAGTGCAGTTTTTTTTTTTTTCCCCAGAGAAGAGTCAATCTAGCCTTTGCAGGGATATGCTTACGAAACAGTTATGAGGATGGCTTGGGCAAGTTTCTGACTGTCTTTGTTTTAATTTCAAGCGACGAAAGCAAACACTGTACAAAAAGAATGCTGCTAATTATCTTCTATTTGATTAAGCAATTCAATCAGAAAATGGCTTGCTGTTTGGGCTCAACTAGAGAGGTGTTTTATAATCCATAGTTGATGAATAGGTACACATGTTAATGACTTTGCTGCTTAATATGCAAATTTAAATTTCAATGTAACAAATCATAAAACCGTTAGACTTTTACTTCCTAGCAAGTTGATTACATTGTATTAAACACTGTAATGTAGGCAGCAATAATAATCTGTTCAAGTGCAAACGAGGCAAATGAGAATTTAAAAGGCAAGCTTTGAAACTCTTCATCCCTCTTGCTCTTACAGTGCAAGGGACCAGTGTTTGGCCTAGCTCATTGTGAGAAGTGGAAACTTCTAATCAGAAAAGTTCCCTTCCGCCGTCCCTGAGGCTGGCTTCTGAACCGGCTTGCTGGCTTCCTGGCCCAGGATCTCCTCACCCAGCTAGCTTAGAAACGCCCCCAAAGTGACTGTAAAACTCCTGGGGTTAGCCCTTTCAGCACCCTCTTCAAGGACCACACCCCTTCTCTTTGGCCTCCCAGCTTTTCCTTTTGGTAGGAAATGGGTTTCTGTTGATGTCTCAGCTCTCCTCCATCTGCTTCCCCCTTGCACTCAAGACAGGTTCAGGGCTCAAATGAGCTCACAATCAGGATTTCTTTTAAAAAAAACTTTTTTAAAATTGCTTTTAGAGAGGAAGGGAGAGGGGGAGAGAGATAGAAACATCAATGATGAGAGAATCATTGACCGGCTGCTTGCTGCATGCCCCACACTGGGGATTGTGCCTACAACCCGGGCTTGTGCCCTGACCAGGAATCGAACCGCGACCTCCTGGTTCATAGGTTGACACTCAACCACTGAGCCACACCAGCTGGGCAGGATTTCTTTAGTGCTGCACTGTCCTCATGAGTTAAGCGTCCCTATGGGATCCTTGAGACAGTGTGCCAAGCTTTCCTCTCCATGATTTTGTCTTCTGATTTCAATGACAAATCACAGTGGTTGCATGTTGATGGTGATGTAGAAGACCTGGCTGTACCACTGCTTAGCTGTGTAAGTTTCTTGACCGCTCTGAGTTTTAGTTTTATCATCTGAAAAATGTGGAATTAATAGTCTGTCTTTAAGGCATGATACAGAGATTTAATTTTCTAATTTGTAAATAGAATGTGTGAAACAGAAGGCATACTGTAGGTACTGGATACATGATATTGTCATTCTTTGGTGGCCAATGCCTGTCCTTTTCCTTTTTGTTGGTTTTTTGTTGGTCTCCTCCTAGTTTCTCAGGCAGGAACCAGCTCCAGACACTGACAGGAAGAGGAAAAACCACTGGGAATAAAGTGGAGGATGAGACAGAGATAATGGAGACAGAGATAATGGTTCTACAGAAGATGCTATGAGGTACATTTATCATAAAATGGTCTGAAAGTGAGTGTTCTGATGAGATGGGAGCCACTTTGCGATGCAAAGATGCTCTGAGAGCTGAGGAGTGTTTGTGGCTAGCAAGAACCCATGGGGAGAGAAGTGGCTTTCAGAGCAGAGCCGCCTGGCTTGATGGCTACGATTTAAGCGTGGCACGCAGCCCAGATAGGAGAGGACGCCACACATGTCATATCCTTGAATGTTTAATCAAAAATTTCCAGGCCACTGGTGTGTCGGCAGGGATCCTAGACCCATGATTTCCTTCTAATAGAAGGAAAAAAGTGGAACACAGTCTCTGGAACGCCATATATGTCTTCCTACTGATTGTAAAAGCAATTAGGAATCAGTCACTTGCTCCCACACTTCTTCTAGGAGCAAATGATACAGGACTCATCTACTTGTATAAGGGAAGTACGTTTGCTACAAATAATAACAGGTGAATATTAATTTAGTTCCATATCTGCTTCTCACCATTCAGAATAAATGAATTATTAAAATAGTGAATTTCGAATTCAAGCTTGGCTCAGTAACATTCCTTCCCTCTCCAAACTGTCCTCAGCACTTCCTGTGTTTGTTCGGAGCTCTCTCTCTCTCTCTCTCTCTCTCTTTCTCTCTCTCTCTCTCTCCCTCTCCCTCTCTCTTCCTTTGTTCTTCTCCCAGCAAATGGGAAACAAATGCTCAGCACACACAAGAGGCCTTATTCGGTGCCCGGTCGATGAAGGGAGTGGCCTGAAGTTGCATAGAAAACTTTGAAGCGGAGAGAATTCCAGAACCACAATTTCAGAAGCATAGAAGGATGGGTGCAGCTTTTCACTTCTTGGAGGAAGACAAAGCACATTTTAGGGTGCGTGCATGTGGGTTTCAAAGACTACCTTGGCACAGAAGGGGGTGTCTGAGCTGCTGATTTTCTTAGCTCAATTTAAAAGATTCTCTTAGGCGTATGAAGGTTTTGGTTTCAGAATCAGTGTGTTTCAATTAAGATAACCAGCTCTTATAATGGATGTAAAAATGTTTGTGTGCAAGGGGCGTGTGTGTGTGTGTGTGTGTGTGTGTGTGAATGAGAGGGGGGGAAGAAAGAGAGAGGAAGAAGGGAGAGAGAGAGAGAGAGAGAGAGAGAGAGAGAGAGAGAGAGAGGCTTGATGATGCTATGCTATTGGCTTTGGAGATGGAGGAAGGGACCACAAACAAAGGAATTGCAAGTACCCTATAGAAGTTTGGAAAAGTCAATGAAATGACTTCTCCCTTAGAGCCTCCAGGAGGAATGCAGCCCTGCCAACACCTTGATTTTGGGCCTGCTGACTTAGAATTGTAGGGAAATACATTTGTGTTGTTGTAAGCTACTAAATTTGCGGTAATTTGTTACAATAGGAAACTCAAACACCTGATAGCACGTTGCCCATAAGAGGATTCAAACACAGGCCCTGCCACTCCCCAGTGTATGTTCTTCCCCACTCCTCTTTACCCTTGATCTGAACCTGGAGGCAACGGGCTAATTCTATTGAGGTGGCTTTGATTATCTTTTGTTTAGCTCCCAATTACTTGGCAGATTGGGTAGTCTGAGGCATAATTTAAATAGTAGGCAATTCCAGAAACTTTTGTTTTTATAACCTAATTTCATTCTATTCCTGAAGATAGAATACATAAGTATCTGTGCCCATCTATTTCAAGGACACCTGATTGAGGATCACACCCTGTTGAACTGGAGGACTCCCTCAGGGCACGGCAGATGTTTATGAATACTAGATTACATGGGCCCTGGGAGGTGAGGCTGCTTAAAACAGTTAGAATAAATAGCACCTCTAATGAAGCCCTGATTTGATACTTAGATGGGACACACAATGCTATTCACACCACTACAGTATAATGAGCCTCAGGCTTTTAGTGAATTTCTCTAAAGAAATAAATCTGCATGGAGTGGTCAGAGAGGACGAATCAGAGGACAACCCTGATGTGCAGTCACAGAACATGCTACAGGGAGCCCATAGGATCTCTGTTCTGTTCTATAAGATTCATTTAACATAGTGGCTTCAAAGCAAAGTCCTTTCAGGAAGCATTTTGACAGTGATGTGAAATAGATAAATTAGACCTAAATAATTCAAGCAACTTTTGCCTTTTTATTGGAATATGTAATTAATGCTACTTCCCACATTTCTATGTTCTCTCTAGAGGCATGCCATTTGATTCATGGCTACTTGGGCTTCATAAATATCCTATATAACAGCAGTCGCTAACCGGTGGTCCGCGGACCACTGGTGGTCCACGAGGTCTGAAAGTTGGCGGCTGCTATATAATAAAAGCCTAATATGCTAAATGTCAGGTCATTCGTTCAGCCTTTCAACCAAGCAAATGACATGCTAAGGCCACTCAAAACATTGCTGCGAGGGACACTGGCCCACAATGGCGGAAAGGCTCCGAACGGGAGAGTAATCTTGAAGCATG